TCTAGAGGAGTTAGCTTAACCCTTCTATATTTTTTATGTTTGACAAATTATGGAGGGCTAACTCACTTTTGTAAGTGGTTTTGGCCTCATGGGCCAAAATTGTTACCCAACCGCTAAAACGTGATCTGGTTATTATGGAATATCTCATATTCTGTTGGATATTCTCTAATCGAGATCTGGCGTTACGGAGAACGGGGGATAGCGGAGAAATAAGAGGCGGCAATTTGGGGACGGAGGGGGTGGTGTGGAACGTCTATAAATAGAGTGGAGTACCTCTCCTCTGATCATGAATAAGTCTCCATTCCGGAGTCCCCAAAATCAATCTCTGATCTTCTCCCCTCTTCACTGGCGAGCTCTGCTAATGCGAAGGCAAACACTTTTACTATCATTGATGGGATTGGAGAAAATAAGTTACAAAAAAACTTGTTATTGAATTGTGTCTTGAACGTGGGTAAAAAATATTTTAAACGTAACAACAACATCGACACGAGTTGATCTGATATATTTTGTTTATCTGCATGCATCTAGATGTTTGATAATAATAATTTAATTTGTCTCGTCATAACTGTTAATAAAGAATCTGAAAGACAATGCTTAAGGTGGTGTTAATTAACTTTAAGAAGAGGTATTATTACCATATAATAATTATGGGTATGTGAATTATGTTATGTAGTCATGTTTATGTATGCGTGTGTGCTAATGTATGTATGTATGTGTATGAAAAAGGAAATTACATTCGAATCCATGATAATGTAAATGACACTTTTACAATTATATATTCAAATTCGAGGGTACTTTCAGAAGAAATGTTTTAACATGCTACACACTTTTAGAATAATATTAGATTAGATTAGATTAGATTAGATAAGATATAAGATGTATCATGTGTTTTGGAGGATGTATGTATGTGTTCTATTAATGTATGCATGTGTTTTGGAGGGTACTTTGGGAATAAATGTTTTAAGATGCCAATGCACTTTTATAATAGTATTAGATTAGATTAGATATAGATATAGATAGATATGTATCAAAAGAATGCCAAGCATTAGTTCGTTGGACTCAATTTCGTGCGGGGACCTAGAATTAATATTTGTTTTTAGGGGAATTGCTTCTATCCCCCAATTTCCATACGAGTATTCCGCCCCCACCCGAGACTTTTTCAATGCTCCCAAAACCCCCAAAAGTAAAGCGATAATTGCCTAAGCCCCCAAAATACAAAATCCAAGTGATTAAAATATATGAAGACCATAATACACTCTCTCTCTCTCTCTCTCTCTCTCTCTCTCTCTCTCTCTCTCTCTCTCTCTCTCTGCAAATACCTCGCCAGCAGCCCCGGGTACGAAACATACTCCTCCTCGTCGACCTCCACCCGGTACGTCTCCATCAGGACCCTGACCCTAACATTTCCCCCATCTCCTCACTGACTGCGCGGGCCGCCGCATGCTCAATGGGCTCCCCCAGCATCATATTGTCAGACAAAGGGCGGTTCTTGCTCCTTACGATTCCATCAGAGAGGAGTTGCTGGGATTCCAGGAGAGTGGAGCCATGTGGGTCCTTGATGCGGAGGATGGCCACGTTGCCGGTGCGGGTGAGGGAAGGGGATTCATCGTTAGTGATCTCGAGGTAGAGGTTGTTTAGGGTTTTGGTGCCCGAGGTAAGGCCCCATGAGGAGAGGGAGTCGGAGGGGATGTGGGATTTTAGGAAGACGGAGAGGGAGGAGAGGGAGGGGGAGGAGAGGGGAGGAGATGACGATGATGATGATGAGCAACAGTATTATTGCTTCATTTTTCGTGAAATTTGTAAAGAAGAAAAATAAGAAGGGAGAAAAGAGATTGTCTTGGGGGTTACATGTTGGTTTTGAAGGTTACAAATTGGTTGTGAAGGATACGTGTTGGTTGTGAAAGTGTTACAGGTTGGTTGTGAAGGATACGTGTTGGTTGTGAAGGTGTTACATGTTGGTTGTGAAGGATACGTATTGGTTGTGAATGTTACACGTTGGTTGTTAAGGTTACGAGTTGGTTGTGAATGTTACAGATTGGTTGTTAAGATTACGGGTTGGTTGTTAAGATTACAGGTTGGTTGTGAAAGTTATGGGTTGGTTGTGAACCTCGGTAACCTCTGTAACATTCACAACCAATATGTAACATTCACAACCAATACGTATCCTTCACAACCAACCCGTAACACCTTCACAGCTAACCCGTAACACCTTCACAACCAACGCGTATCCTTTACAACCAACGCGTATCCTTTACAACCAACATGTAACCTTCCTTCACCACCAACTCATAAGCTTAACAACAAACTTATTACCGTAAAATAACAATAATATATAAATTTACATACTCTATTTTAATCTCAAGTCATCGATTTCCTTACAAGTATTCCGCCAATGAACGAACGTCGTTTCTTCCCGCCGTTTCCTTACAAGATTCCCGCCGAAAAATTCTAGTTTCCTCAAGACTTTTTCTTCGCCTCATGAACAAACACCGGAAAAGTATTACCGCCGATGTTAACATCGTTAGGAATTTTTGGAGGGAACTAGAATTTCCCCTCCAAAACCCATTTTAAATCATCACAGTAACATCATGAAGAGAGAGAGAGAGAGAGAGAGAGAGAGAGAGAGAGAGAGAGAGAGGATATTACGGTCTTCACATATTTTAATCACTTAGAGTTTGTGTTTTGGAGGTTCAGAAAATTATCGCTTTACTTTTAGGGATTTTAGGAATGTTGAAAAGCATTGGGTGGGGACGGAATACTCGTATGGAAATTGGGAGCTAAAATCAATTTCCGCTTGTTTTTATGCATATTTAATCATAAACTGGATTTTCTTGGCCCATCCTAGCTCACACTCGTGGTCGTACATACCAACTGCCTATCTAGCAACGAAGTGGCTAATTACCCAGAACGACCCTGAAGTCCACAACTGAGCAAAAGCCCACCCTTTTCCAAAAACGCGGCTCGTCTCGTTTCCCTAAAAAAACCTTTTTTTTTTTTTACTGTTTCGGAATTTTAAACCTTTTTAACGCACCAAAGCGACGTGAATATTTACTCGCACTTGACGAATCCGACTTGTTAGGAATCTTGAGAGCGAGATGGGAGATAAAAGGGGGGCCGCAAGTGACAACGCTCGCATCCAGTCAAATCCTAACCCTAATCCTAATCACCCCCCCGCTCTCCAAACCCTAGCCCTCTCCTCTCCCCTCTCGATCTCAATCCCTCCCGAATTCGATCCGAATGGAGGGGGGAGCCGTTGGCAACGACGTCGAATTGGTGTCCAAGACTCTCCAGTTCGAGCACAAGTTGTTCTACTTCGATCTGAAGGAAAACCCTAGAGGCCGATACCTTAAGATCTCGGAGAAGACGTCGGCTACGAGATCGACCATCATCGTTCCTGTCAACGGCATTGTTTCGTTCCTCAATTTGTTTAATTACTATGTGAACGCGGACGAGCAGGAGGTGTTCAATAAGGAGCTGCCGCTCGATACTAAGGTCTGCTTGTTTAATTCCTAAAAAAAAAATTGTTTGTTCTCTCGTTTCGAGATTTTGTTTGGGTTCCTAAAGTTTTGGTCTTGGTGTCTAGGTGTTTTATTTTGATGTTGGAGAGAACAAAAGGGGGCGCTTTTTGAAGGTAACTTCGATTTTGTTGGTTCTTCTGTTTTTTGATGGAGCTTACAAAATAGTAAGGAACGGTTATGGGCAAACACTAAATGGACCGTTTTCTGCCTAGTTCATCTTTGACCTTCTGATTCTTGAGTTGAGATTGGTTTAGTTATGGAAAACTGATGTAAAAACATGGATCAAGTAGATGCATAATCGTAGGAGATCTATAACCAGATTGCTGAAGGGTTAGTGGGTATGACGGAGCACTTTGAACCATGTAACCCGTGTAAAAGCCACATAATCCTTATCGCTGTTGATTATTCAGGTGCATAGTGTCACAAAATCTGTTCAGTCGTCACATATTTCTTTTAAAGTTATTTATTCTGTGCTGTAATGCTCGTGTGATATTGATATGCATGCTTCTTGATATTCTTGTAAAGTTATTTATTTATTCTTTCTACTCGATATTTGTTTAGTTGTTATTTGTTAATTGCCAATTGTTAAGTTGTTTTTTGTTATGAGGTTGTTAGTACGATACATTTAACTTGAGAGTCTGTTATTACTTACTTATGACGTTAACTATTGCTTTATCAGTTATGTTTTTACTTGTTATCTGGATTCACTAAAATTAGAAATGACTCGTCTAATTTTTTACATTATTTAGAGACTTTCTCATATGCTTCCTATAGTTTCTACTTTTATGGAGATTTTGACATTTTTAAGCTGAAATTTTTTAATACTAGCACAGTGCATAATCTTGTTGTCCTCTGCATAATCTAATTATGTGACATTCTGTGCTGGAATGCTTCTATGATATGCATACTTCTAAATATTTGAATTAGACCATTGAAACCACTTTTGTTGATTGCAGCCTATACACGCTTGTAAATGGAGCTTCAACTTGATGTTCACCCCTCCCTTTCCCTTAAACCTCTCACAGACAAATGAACACAAGACATAAGAACAAAGCAAAGAAAAAACAATGACATGTTTATTTTTGATGATTTTCATATAATTTGAAAATATCAGTATAGAATTATTTAATTTGTTATTTGTACTTGCACGAAGTTATTAAGTTCCAAATTTGACTCAAACCCAATAAAACTTGAAGTTTAGTAATGATCTTTTCGTATCAGATTCAGGTTCGAATATTACATGAACCTGATTTTGGGAAGCCTCTCTTGTTTAGTGGATCACTCGATGGAAAGGAGAAAGAAAAACAGGATGCTATTTAAGATTCAACCATTCGACTTTCTTCCCATGAGTAGATTTCTAGTCCTTCTAGAAAGTGTTCCTCATATTCCATTCACTTTCTGGTGCCAACGCATGCATAGTGGAAGTATATACAGTAGGTTTATTAACGCATAATAGACGCTTATTCCTTGTGTCAGCGATACTGTTGTCTCATTCAGATACCTAAGCGGTAAAGATGCTTTGAAATACTAAGACAAACCTCTTTTATGTTGATCTTTTTCAAATTCTTCAAATTGGTTTTTCTTGCCTTCTTGTTTTTCTGATTTCACCAGTATCCTTCATCTGGATACTTGTCCCATGCTGCTGATTTTTTTTGGTTGACCTATATAAATAGCCTTTTTATTCTTCTAGATAGATGGTATCATGCTGTCTGCCTGTCTGGTTTTGGTTTCATTGTGCTGCGAATCTTATTATTCCTTGTCTAAACTCACTGTAAAAACTTGCTTCAAGCTGAAGAAACACTGAGTTGATGTTCCATGTCCACTGCATACTTATATTACTATTCCATTTCAGGGAATTTTTTTTATGTAAGCAATTGGCTTATTACCTTCATGATCCCCTTAGGCAATCTCAGAACTCGACATTCCCGTTATCCTTGTAGCTGGTTATTCGTTTGGTCAGCCATTCTTTGATAATTGGGAGTCTAATCTTTGACATTTTTCATCCTTTTTTGGCACTTAGCTTTCATGATGAAAGTATGGAGTGCCCAAATTGAGGAGTGATAGGGGTTTTTAATAACCAAAGTTGCAAGTGCACAACCATTAAGTTATAGTATAAAAGGTTGTCGAATCCCACGAGGAAGATGTTGTAAGAATTAATCAAAATTGGTTCTCAAGTTGTTTGTGTGACAATTTAAGAGTGATAAAAGTGGTTGTGGAGAGATAAAGAGAGTGTTTGTGACAAACAAAGTGGGATTAAGAGAAAGAAGGATGAAGAAAATAAGGAAAAATAAAACCAAGAAACAAATAAGAGAAAAATCAAGAATAAAGAGGAAAATCAAGAAAGTAAAAGATGAAGGATTCAGTTAGAGATATGAGGAGTCTTAGAATTGAATCCACTAGCCAATTTCACTTATAGACTATGAACTATTATCTTTTTATCACATTATACTTTAGATTTATTAAGCATAGACTATCAAACCACTTAAGGAAAGCATAACATATTAAATTATTATCTAAGTAAAATTAACATTCATGAAAAGAACAACTAGATAGGAATTCTAGAATTCATAAGTATAACCTATCAAACCACTCAAGATAAGAATAGATTATCAAATTCTTCTTCCACCAATTAGTTCTCTAATTGATTATCTTAAGCATGATCATTTTAAGCACAAGAGAATAGTTCACAAATAATAAAAGAAATCAAACTAGTTTCATACAATTCTAGAATTTCTACAAGAATTACTTTCACATCTTAGAAAATAAAAATAAAGAACTAAATCTATACTAGAGAGAATAAAATGAACAGAAAGAAAATAAAAACTAATTCTCAATAGGGTTCTAGCCTCTTAGAGAATGAAAGGAAAAGAATGAAGATAAAAACTAATTTCCAAGAGGGTTCTAGCCTCTTGGAGAATAAAAGAAATAATAAAAATATAAACTAATTCCCAAGAGGGTTCTAGCCTCTTGGAGAATGAGAGGGAAAGAATAAAAACTAATTTCCAAGAGGGTTCTAGCCTTTTGGAGAATAATGCAAGAAAATAAAATCTTAACTATGCAAGAAAATAAATCTATACTACAAAATATAAGAAAATAAAGACATGAAAGTAAATCTACTCTACAAAGTATTAAAATAAATCTAAAACAAGAGGGTTCTAGCCCCTTGAATATCTAAAATAATTAAAAAAGGTAAAAGAGAAAATTTACATTGCAACATGGTTCTAGCCTCTTAAAAGCAAACTTTCATCTTCATCTTCTTCATCATCATCAAACAAAGAGAAGAAACGAAAAATATGAAGAAGTAAAAAATTCTTTTATTAATTACAACAAAGTTATAATTTTGGAAGATCTTCTCAATTAAGATTAACCATTCTCTCCAAATAGAGATCATAAAAATTTTCATTTTCAAACCCCTCACCCTCTATCTCTATTTATATAAGCCTATAGCAATAGATGTGAACCCTTGGATATTACTTGAAGATCAAGGATAAATCTCAGCCATAAAGAAGTTTCTATTGCGAACCAATCGGTTGACCAATCGGTTGGCCGACCGATTGGTTTGCAACATATTTTGTTATTTTGTGATTTCTTGACCCGATTTCTTCATGGATCCTTGAGTTTTCTTGGGCCTTCTTTTACCTTCATATTTGGGCTTCAATAAATGGTAGAAAATCAGGGAGTTTGATTATTTTAGACTTTTATTCATTAATCCTTCATTAACCTGCAAATTAAGATAAAACACGTTTGTTAGTGATCGTTTTATTTAAATGAAATAGATAATGAGAGTATAAAATAAAATAAAAATGTGATTATCAAGGAGCCAACAAAGCATTCTTTCCAGTTGCTAAAGATGAGTACAATTGATTTCCATAAGACTTTCTGTTCATTTTGTTATTCACTTTGTTAATACATTTAGTATTGTGATCTTTATCTCTATTTCACTTGCATATATCATCTTCCCATCAAAATTTTATATTATTTGCACTTGGGTAGTGTATATTTGTTTTCAAAGTTATCCACCTGATGTTCACTCTTCCAACCACTTTAGGCTTTCAGCTGTTGCAGATGCTGTTTGTTACCCCAAACAAGTCTCCATTAGCAAGTTGGCCTAGGAGTAGAATGATTTGATTGTATTAGTGGCATATATATATATATATATATATATATATATATATATATATATATATATATATATATATATATATATATATATATATATATATAATATATATATATATAAAAGAAAAATGTGTAATTTGGCACCAAACACAAAAAGTTCATCTTGGTAGTGAGGTGGTATAATCTCCCTTCACTCATTCACAATGATTGGCGAGATCCTCATGTAGCTGCCTCAACTCATGTAAATGTGATCCCCTATTTGAGTGACATTTGAGTAAAGTGGAAGGGGATTGTGCCACCTCAGCTACCAAGCCACAAAATTTGTGCTTCCGGGTACAGAGCATATCAATATTTTCTCCCTCTCTCTCCTCTCCTATCTAATATATATATATATAGTATATATTATATATATAATATAATATTTATAATATATATATATATATATTCATCTCTCCTCATGTAATTGCCTTATGTTATGCGAGTCCTCATGCTTCCTGAAGATCAGATGTTTGCTGCATAATGATACTCCATAAGATTGTTTAATTTGAATTCATGGCATATTATTTGCCCACTGCTCTGATGTAATCCTTGTTTTGTTTTGGTAACTTAGGCTTTATGTCTTATCAGGGTATTAATGATTTTACCTATACATGTTCCTATTTCATTTATCTGAAATTGATATGCTATATTTGAGCTTGTTCAATATTGTATTTGTTTTTTATGGATTGTGCTTCTTTTATCTTGCGTGTTAAGTGTTGCTAGACTTTGTTTGCTACCAAAACTTACGTCATCCTCATCACTAATTTTGCTTTCTTTCTTTTTGTTTTGTTATGTGACTGTGATCTTAGGTTTGGTACCTGTTCATTCAGTTAGCTAAAAGTCTTTGGTTAACTTATACATTACAGTCTGGCATGCTTTTTCACAGTTCTCCATATAGCTGTTCGATTGCCTAGCCCATGTGGTCAATCTCAATTCTTATTGTGAACTTGGAACTAGGCATTAAATATGAGTGATCTTTGTTTACCTGAAGATTGGTGTGAGTTTGCTATGTTAGTCTTGAACAAAGTTCTGCTATGTTAGTCCTGAAGAAAGTTCTATTCTAAGTGGCCATTTAAAGTAAAATATCATTGAGAGCTTGATGTTGACTATAGTGTTTAATTGATAAGTATTCTTCAGAGCAAATACTTTAGAGTATTGTGTGCTATGTTAGTCTTGAAGAAAGTTCTATGTTAGTCTTGAAGAACGTTCTATTCTAAGTGGCCATTTAAAGTGAAATATCATTGAGAACTTGATGTTGACTATAGTGTTTAATTGATAAGTATTCTTCATGCAAATACTTTAGAGTATTGTTTCTCTTCTCTTCCTCTTGCAAACATATAATTGCGTCTTAAGACTGACAATTTAATCTTTTAATATGTCTCCAATTCTCATTTACACTTATCTAAGCTAACCATAAAATCTCTCTAAATATATATTTAAGCATATTCAGATTCTAAATACTCCACTGTTATTTCTTCTCATTTTTTTGGGAGAAAATATATACTTCTACTATTATAGTGCGCAAAGGCACATTAAAAAAAGATAGCTATGAAGCAAGTAAATAATAAAATCTATTTGACAGATTCCCACCAAACTATAAATCTATTTTAGAAATCTTTTTATATATTGGAATTTCTATTGAAATTATCTAATCTAAGCATATTTTCAAATTTATTATGTCAAATTTATTACATTTTATTAGAAAGAATTTATATCTCTATACTTATAGCTAGAGTGGCATATATTAAAAAGCTATGTATGACATTACCTCATATTAAAAGCTATTAAAAGTTATAAATGGAGGTCTGTCAAGTTTTAATTCTGACATATCTACCTTCGGCGTGCCTTGTGTTTAAACTCTGTTTCTCCTGAGACCTCCCAATTTCATACAAGTATTTTTAACTTTAGTTTTGAAATATAATTTTGAGTGAAACATGCATGAGGAAGGAAAGAGGGACTTCTTTTTAAGCATTAAATATGTAACCAACTGTCACATCTTGTTGGGCAAACTTGCTGTGGAGAAATTTTGTATATGAATGGCACCCACTTTTTTTTTTGCGTATGATTATGAGCATGTATCACTGCAATTTTTCTTTCCCACGATTTACACTCAACCACAATTTTACATGAGCTAGTCCTAAATCTGGATCACAGTTGTGTCTGAGAATAATTTAATAGTATTGATAACAGCTGCAAATGTACCTGGTGCGCAAAATAAATAGGTAAAGCAGACTTCACATTGTAAGTGCTACAGAACAGGAAGCAATAGTATATGGCATAAAAACAATAGCAGATTAAGATAATAGAGATGGACCTTGGAGTATAGATTCATGCGTAGTATGGGGTTCATGGTCGCTTCCTCTCATTTAATGTTTTGGTTCGTTGAAGTGAGAAATACATGAATGTAAGAGTATGCTTCTGTATTTTAAGCTAGCCCACTTCTGTAATTTTTACACGAATTTAATGTGATTTTCGTAGTCATTATGAAATAGTTTGGTAGCCACATATATAATTGTTCAATATCCTGTTGTACCTTCTGGAATTATTTTTCTACATCCTTGGGTCATTTCTTGAACACAACCCTTTCTATGAAAAGTTGGTACAGTTTGTTATATGGTTTCGACGTATCCAATGAAGCTGAACCCATGAAACTTCCTGGTGTCTCAAACACTCCACATGTTTTTTCTTGAACTTGTGTCTTTTTTATTATTGTTACTTGATGTAATTTCAGGTATGGTAGTTTGAGCACCTGTACATTGTTTGGGCAGGTTGTATCCAACTACATCAAATGATTATTTAAAAACATTGATTAGTTGTTAGGTTTAGCGTCCAATAAAGCTGAATACCATGAAACATCATAGTGTCCTAAACACTCCAAATATAATTTTTTCTTGACATATTTTTTCCTGACAACACGTAATTTCCATTATGGTAGTTTGAGTACCTTTACATTGTTTGGGTAGGTTGTATCCAACAACATCAAATGATTATTTAAAAACATTGATTGGTTGTTAGCTTGTTTAAATTTTCTTCAGAGAAAACTTATACCATGAATATCTCATTAACCTTTTTTGGTTGAGCGATCTTTTTAGCATAATTCCCTAGATTGGTTGTCTTAGGTTGCATGTAGCTGGAGGCATATGGTGGTTACAATATAGATCAATTAAAGAATGTGCTTGGTTGCATACTTTCTGTGTCTCTCATATATTCCAATAACTTCTTGGGGTCCAAAAGCTTTACAACTCAAAATGAGCAAAAATTAAGTACATGTTGGTAATTATGCTAATATATCCAGATCTGGAAAAATAAGTAATAATCAAACTTCTTTGAATGTTTTCTCTAATTTAAGAAAGTTATAATAACTTAACAACTAATTAGTGTTTTAAACTGATTGTTTAATATATGTTGGGAAAACAAGTTATACAAACATTGTATTGGTTGGTGAACTGTCATATTTTGAAAATGTATGCTTCTTAGAGAACCATTTGCTTCTTCAGCTACATACAACCAAACACCTTATTTTTCACATACCATCATTATGTGTGGTTTTGTTCAGTAGATAAAGCCATATGACTAAGTAGAAGAACTACAAGTATGTAAGGGGCTTTTAGTTAAATTTTCAGACCCTCGAAATGACGGCAATTTGGATATTGCCAGTATGAACAGGTGACCTTGATTAAAAGTCATCCATACTCGGTAGTGACTTATTTACAAGCCTTATTCGAAAAAATCAGTATTTGTTGTCAACTTACATGTCAGTTAAAGTCATTTAATTATTCCTATCCTTATGTTGGGTTATACTTTATATAAGACTAACACTTGCTTGTTAAATAGGTTTCAGAAGCATCTCTTAGCAGAAACCGCAGTACAATAATTGTCCCTGCAGGAAGCTCTGGTGATGAAGGATGGACTGCGTTTAGGAATATCTTGCTAGAGATTAATGAAGAGGCCTCACGACTCTTTATGTTACCAAATCAGGTAAACTGTACTGGGTAACTGATATTGTACTTAATCTTTTCTAAGGTATCTGCTGTTCTCACTTCGCATCGCTATTTGATATATTTTTCTTAAAGCAGAACGTAGAAAATTCAGAGCGGCTTCAAGGACTTTCAGATGATGTGGGCGCTGGATTCATATCAGGCCACAACAACCAACAAGCGTCTGCATCTGACCTCACTGTTGACCGCTTGGTTGAATTCTCTTCTGCAGATGAAGTTGCAGGCATGGGGATGTCTAAAGTAATCAGGGTGGATCAGAAAAGGTTTTTCTTCGACTTAGGAAGCAACAATAGGGGCCATTTCTTGAAAATATCTGAGGTATTATGGTTTATGCACTCAACATTTTATGATTGTCTCTTAAATATATAATTTATCCCTCAAATCATTGAAGCTGATGATAGGTTCCTCAAATAATAAGGGTTCTTGCAATCTGGCCCCTCTTTAGTTTTTCAGTTAAATTCTCATACCATGGTTGGGTTAGTTCTTTAGTACAACGTTGTCAATTACTAAAATATTTTCTAGTGACCAATTATTGACCCATTTTAGATAGAAGAAGATACAGATGAGAAATGAGTTTGGGGGCAATTTTAGCGTTGGAGAAAGTGAGCGATTAGTTTTTGACTTTGGATTTAACCCTGCTTAAGAAACGGGCTGTTTAAACATAATTTAAGGGTGTGCAATAATTTCTGGGATTAATACCAAATTGCAAGGCCGCTTATGACTTGAATGACCTAGACCTATCAACAATTCTAGTGATTTGTGGGACTAATACCGAATTGTAGAAGATTTAAGGGATGGACATCTTAAAGCGTGTATATGTGTAACAACAACATGCTTAACTCATCACAAATTTGCAATGTTCAGGTTGCAGGGCCTGATCGTTCATCGATTATCCTTCCATTGTCTGGGCTGAGGCAGTTCCATGAAATGGTTGGTCATTTTGTGGAGATAACCAAGGACAGGCTTGAAGGAATGACCGGTGCAAACGTGAGGACAGTGGAATCGATGCAAAGATGATCCCGTTTCTGATCGTGTTTGGGTTTGCCTGTTTAGATTCAGTTTGATCTTGCACATTGTGGCTTTTTGAAAATTTCCCCCCTTTCTTGTTTGATAATTGTCATATGGGGATGGTAATAAATTCCTACTTGATGCTGGATAAATGGGGCGGCTGCAGAGCTCCATGGGTTTGCAGAATAATGGAGGATGCATTTGTGGTTTTGGGATTTAGAGGGTGTATAAGAGTGACATATTGGATGAGGACAGTAACCGTAGAGTCGAGTAATAGAATAATGGAGTTCCTTCGTGCTGCTGATGCTTTCAAATAAAGACTTTCTTTTTATTTTCGTTGCTGCTGGTAATAGAAATTTTGTTTCCCTACTTATTGATTTTCTTTGCTTCTATTGTTGTGATTGTGGGGAAGTTCTAACATACTGTGTGGTAAATGCTTGGAATTGAAAGCCCTAATAGTTCATTTCCGAGTCAAGTCAAGTTGATATTTGTATTATTCATTGTTTGTTATTAATTTAAGCTTACACACACGTATATGTACACACACACATATACATATATATGTACATGTACACACACGGATGTATATATGTTGTGTATATATGTTAAAACTTTAATTTCTTGCTTGGATTCGCCTCCGCCCAGTATGTGATCCGTGATCGAAGCGCACGCACAAGACGCTACATAGCCACGCGCACACGCATGACGCTGCGTGGGCACGTACACAGTGTAATTCTTCCTCTCAACCCCTTAAACCAAATAGAAATTATTAAAGAGCGTTGAGTAATTTTATCTGGAGTATCTTGCATTTCTATTGACACCTAAAGAGTTCAAACATATTGAAGTCATGTGATACTTATGTGAAAATCTTAAATAAGACGTGCTCATGTACATTTATAACTTCCCATGTAAATAGTCTAAAGTACCAGATTGGCAATCTCAATCTCAATATCAGCGAGTGATGACCCTAACCCCTCATCTCTCTCCACCTATCTCGGCCTCTCCTTCGTTGTCTTCTTAGGCCTCCTCCCCAAATCCTTCATCCCCTACCTCTCCTCTCTCCAATCCCGCAACGGAATCCTCAGCCTCAAGCTCTTCCAGGCTGAGGACCAGCTGAAAACCCTAAGGTCGAGGAGGAAGGAGGACTCCAAGGCCAACAACCGCGTTATCAAAATCTTCATCAGTCACCGTCACATGTGGCAGCAAGAGGAGCGGCGTCTATTGGATCAGATTGAGTCGGCAAACGAGGAGATCAAGAGGTTGATGGGGAGGGTCGGGGAGCTTGAGAGAGAGGTGAGGAAGAGGGATGAGATGCTGGATCTCGTGGCGGCGAGGAGAGAGGAAGAGGAGGTTAGGGTTAGGGTTTCGGAGGGGTTGGGGTTTGGGGAGATGGACGAGATGACGGCGGCTTATTACGCAGGGGAGAAGGGTCTGTCATTGAGAAACGACGAAATCGGAAGCGTGGAGGCCGAAGGTCAAATTAATTTAGAGACCGAGAGAGGGAGAGGGGCAGGGGAGAGAGCGTATTAGGAAGGGAAGAATGAGAGTTGGGTGTTATCGAAGAGAGAGGGAGAAGGGCAGGGGAGAGGTCGGATGACGAAGGGAAGAAAGAGAGGCGTACTCATTTAATAAACGAAAATTACAGGGAAAGGGCTAAACTGGGAAAAAAATTAAAACATAGGACAAAATTAGAATTAAGTAATTTGTAAAGGGCAACATGAGTATGCAAAAGTTTTGACACTTGTTTTCTCTTTTAGAAATAGTATAGATATAGATTTATTTTACTAATAGGGCATTTTAAATAGACAACTCAGGCATTAAGGTATTTTAAATTGTCAAAAGGTGCAACAAGACTCAAGATTTCATTGGCAACAAATGTTCCAGCAAGAATCTGCCATGTGTGTTGCGTAATTACTCAATTTATGTTGGAGCGCTGAGTTGGAGGGAGCTTCATAAATTACGTGGCAGTGGGTTAAGTGGGTAAATAACTAGTCCTAAAATCTCCAATTCCCTCAAACTGGACAAATACGTGTATTTTTTGGAGGATAATATGTGAAGTTCTCACGCTATTCAATTTGCCCTTGCTTTCCCCTTATCAGTTTCCGTTTTAGATTCCTAAAAAAAAAGAAGAAGAAGAAGAAGAAGAAAACCTGATACGAGTCGCCGTGCGAGCACCCTTTGATCGCAGAATTACCAAAAGGTGGGTTAAGAAGAAGACAACTAAAATACAAGACAATTCAGTATGGCGAAAGAAAATACCTTCTTCTAGATTATGAAGAACAAAAGATTACAATCTCTCCCTCACAATCTCACTAGAATCGAGAACAACCTCTCAATCTTCTATAAACCCTAATACAAGATTAGAATCTCTCTCTGATCTAAGATCATAAAACTTATGTTTAAAAACCCTAAACAACCCTTTATATAGGTGTACAAACGTGGATGACAATCTGGTAAATAACCAAGCCCAAAACCAACAGGAATTTGTGTGAGCAGAAACCCAAACGAATCAGGAAACTGTCGATGAGTCGACTCATGACCTCGATGAGTCGACTCATGACCTCATGTGAGTCGACTCATAACTGATGAGTCGACTGGTCAGAGACTTTTGTTAACAGGGCTTAATTTCGTGAGTCGACTCATGACAGTCATGAGTCGACTCAACCTGATGAGTCGACTCATGTACATGTATGAACCCAAACGAATCAGGAAACTGTCGATGAGTCGACTCATGACCTCGATGAGTCGACTCATGACCTCATGTGAGTCGACTCATAACTGATGAGTCGACTGGTCAGAGACTTTTGTTAACAGGGCTTAATTTCGTGAGTCGACTCATGACAGTCATGAGTCGACTCAACCTGATGAGTCGACTCATGTACATGTATGAGTTGACTCACGAGCTGAAAACTGGATTTTTCGAATCTGCTGCTCGCCGTCTCGTTCCACTGTACTGTTTTACACCCATATTCTCATGCTATCATGAGAATCATCTATCCTCAAGCTCACATGAGGATCGCTAAGTTTCGAAGAGAAGATACACCCGTATCAAAACCCTAAGTTCAAATCACTACCAAATCGACCTCAATCTGAATCTGAATCCAAAATTAAAGATTTCCAACTGCTTTCTCTATGTGTTTGCCGTTACCACATCACTAAGTAAAAAATATATAAATCACGTTGCATGCCCATGATGGTTTCTCACTAGAAAATAGTTGCGAATGACATTTCGGGTCTCACTGCACCTCTGGGTTATTTAAAATATCTTAATATAGAGTTGCCTATTTAAAATACTATATTAATGAAATAGGTCTAAATAAAATATAAATTTGATAATGTAGCCCATATAAACAGTACACGAACTCATTCCCGCTATGGAAAACACACATGGCCCTTCACACATCAGCACGTATCCAAAACAATTAAAATGATAAGACTCGGTAGATTGAGCCCTCAATCCATTAGGTTGACATAAGTTTTCCAATATGAAAATTTTCTATTTCACCCACGTCAAACAAATAATTTAAATAAAAATTCTACAAGAGAGATCCATCAAATTGGGATTTTAATATATTATTAAATTTCTATCTAAATCTATTTCATCTAATCATAGTTTGAATTTCTCAATCTAATTCTATGAATTCATTAACAAATCTAACAGAGCCTAAGTATTTATAACCAAATTCTACATATTAAAAAATAAATGTTGAACATATGCCTCTTCACAGCCGAAAATGGGGTATAAGGCTCTTTCTTTTTACGGGAATTTTTTTTAAAAAAGACCGATTTTGCTAAATAATTAGCAAAATAGACCATTTTGCTAATTAATTAGCAAAATAGATCTCCTTTTGACCAACAAGTCAAAAAGAGGTCGATTTTAAAAAATAGGTTGCTGAAAACATACGAGAGTAGTAGTCTCATATGTTTTTAGTGCACTAATCGGGGATTAGTGTTCACAGAAAATATACGGGACTACTAGTACCGTATGTTTTCAGCAGTCTGTTTTTTAAAATCGACCTCTTTTTTGTCAACATGCCAAAAAAGGTCTATTTTTCAGCAGTCTGTTTTCTAAAAAAATTCCCCACTATCTATTAGTAGTCATTAAAATGATAAAAACATTCTCCTTTTGTGAAAAATACATGTCCAAAACTCGGTAGAAAAATCATACTTCCTTTAAAAGTACGAGTTCGGGAAAATCTTTCTATGGTCAATATTACCCTTCACTATTATAAATATTTTATTTATATCTTAATTTATCATAATCATAATTATATCCTATCCTATTCCTACTGAACTATCTATAGCTTAACAATTTTAAAAAATAATATTAATAAAATATATAAAATATCTTCATGGTATTAGTTTGTTAAGATAAAAAAATTATACGTAGCTAACGTACTATAATATATAATGTATTGTCAAAAACCTGAAGTTTTAAAATTGCACAAAATGCCCCAAAAAGTTTAAAATTATAAAAACTATCCTGACGTCTAAAAACTTACAACAACATATATGAAAACAACAAATTAACAACAGTTTATGAAGAATTTAAAATTTACGATTAACATCTCAATATCTCAAAAATTATAGAAACACCCTCAAAAGTTCAAATTACAAACAAGCACATGAAATTCTAAAATTTAAAACTTAAAAATAACATAGATAAATTCAAGGGATTACCATAATGCACCTAAATTTTTTTTATATTTCAAAACTTAAAACAACAAACATGAAATCAAAAAATTAACAGCAGCCTCTAAAAACAACATAGATGAATTCAAGGGATTACCATAATGCACCTAACAATTTCTGACATTTCAAAACTTAAAACAACAAACATGAAATAAAGAAATTAATAGCAGCCTCCAAAGAATTTAAAATTTTTAATTAACACCCTCAATGTCCCAAAAATTATAGAAATACCCTCAAAAATTCAAATTATAAAAAACAACCCTAACATTTTAAAAATTTTAAAATTTGCAAACAACAAAAGATGAATTCAAGAGATTACCCTCATACACCTAAAAATTTAAAATTTACCAAAATTAACCTTAAAGTTATAAAAGTTGTAGAAAAAACTCTTTTGAAATTTAAAAATCATTAAAAAACTCTAAATTTTTAAAATTTATAACCAGTACACATCAAATCTGAAAACTAATGGTAGACCGTTGAAATTTAATTTTTTTTAAAATTAATCTACAGTTTTAACAATTGTAAAAAACAACCTCAAATTTTTAGAGTTGTAAGAAATATCGTGATATTTAAAAATTACCATCGACACATGAAATATAAAAGTTACAACTACTAAACTTAAGTTGATACTGGTAAAATTACAAATCACATCCTCAAAGTTCAAAACCACAAAAAAAGCTAAAATTTTAAAACTTGGCAAAGAAAAGTATAATTATTAGGTATTCTTTCATTAAAATATATATTTAATTTCCAATTTAGGGTTTACTATCCCTTTTCAGCATCTAAACATAGTCTAAGTTGATACTGGTAAACAAAAACAATAATAATTTATTAAAAATATCCGGTTAGGAAATAAAAATTTAAAAAATATTATAGTTTAAAAATTATTGTTACCATATAAATTAGAGTAATTGCATAAAATTTTATTAATAAGTTGGACCAGCAAAACACATTAGTAACATTATTTAATAGATGTTGTAATTGCATAAAATTTTATTAATAAGTTGGACCAGCAAAACACATTAGTAACATTATTTAATAGATGTTAAAAATCCATAAAAATGATAAAATAAGTTGGACCAGCAAAACACATTAGTAACATTATTTAATAGATGTTAAAAATCCATAAAAATGATAAAAAACTATAATATAATAGCTTAGTATTAATTAATTATAATTTAAAAATATTAATCTCTGATGCTAATAATATTTATAGGGGAAAAGAATACAATGAATTATGTATGGAAAAATTATCAGAATGTTCAGAGATATCATTCAAAAGAATCAAGCTAATTCCATTACAAATGGAAAAATAACGAAAATAAATCTAAAATTTAAAAAACGTCCATAAATCATTTGAATTAGTATTAACATAAGACATGTTTATTAAAGAAGCACCAACTGAGTTATATTGAAGAATAATTTAATAACTTTATCCCAATCAAAGAAGAATTCTCTATAGAAGATATAAGAAAAATTAGTAAGCATTCATAAATTTCATACTTTGTTCTTTAAATATTAAAGAAATTAAATATTAATATTATAATCTAAGGTAAATTGGCAATAAAAAATATAGATATTTAGTTTAGATCTTTGTGAAAAATAATAGGGATAGAGCAAATGTAATATTATTAACGTAACGGAAACTCTTATTGGATACACATCGAAAGAATTAATTGTCGAGAAAAAAGAGGTAACTCTTAATATTATTTAAGTAATAAATTAGAAACACAAAGAATTTCATATATACGAGATTAATATTTATTCTCATTGAAATAAAAAAATCAAAGTCTGTATTTTAAGAAGTTTGTGTTGAGCATTTGAAATATATTTAACTTCTTCGCGAAGTTAAATGACAAGATAAAAGATTAACGAGCCCACGAAAGATAACAGGACAAAAAATACAACTCTAGCCTGATATCACAATCGAGTAGATGATGAAGACACTACTCTAGAATTGCCCGAGAAAAAGATAAAGGCGAAGAAGGATTGATCTTATCTCAATAAATAATAAAATATAAGGAATAAAAGATAATATTTTTTGAATATTTCATAGAATAATTTAATTATTTTTAGTGAATTTAGAAATATTCAGAAGGGAGCTTGATATCACAATCGAGTAGATGATGAAGACACTACTCTAGAATTGCCCGAGAAAAAGATAAATATGAGGAAAGATTGATCTTAGCTCAATAAATAATAAAATATAAGGAATAAAAAATAATATTTTTAAAATATTTTATAGAATAATTTAATTATTTTGAGTGAATTTAGAAATATTCAGAAGGGAGTTCCATGAGCTTTTTTAGTACTTTTATATGCTTGTGCAGATGCTTTTATCATATGAAAGTATACTAGAGTTAGTATTAATCTTTAATTTATAATTTTTTATGAAGTCTATCAATGATTAGGAATAAACTTCATATTCTCTTTTGTATCGTTTTAGCATACTTTTTAACAAATCATTTTACTTTACAGGTTTTAAATATTCACTTTCTTTATATAATATTATTTTAATATTTTTTACTTTTATAACATTACACTTTCTCAAATAAATCTATTAAAGTAAAACTGAGAAACAAATTTTAGTTAGAAAGTAATATAAAAATTCTTAATCATGATATTTAATCACGTGCATTGTGCGTTTATAAAACTAGTAGCTAGAAAAGGAAATCTTTCCTTAGCACAAATTATGCAGAAAAGATTTGCAGTATCTACTAACTCGATATGTGGGACCCTTGCGCATGAACTACGATAAAAGTAGGTTTTCAAAATCATGGTCCACTAGTTGTTTTCTGAATTTTCGAACAAACCAGAACTTATCCTTTCAAACTAAATCACAGATGTTTCCGTAGTCTCCTCAAATCTCGCTCTAACACAAGCGGGGCCCCCGTAACCACACGTGGTCCCCAAACTCGGTCTATGATCTAAAAGAGTAACCGGCACGTGCCAACTCCCTGCTTTTATCCAAAATAAATCCATTTATCCCTAAATTCCTGGTCCCCCAAGAGCCCACGCGTCATCACAAGCATCACGCCACGTTCCATTCTCGCCCGCCATCAATTCCCTGTAAGATGAAACAATTGACGGTCAAGATTAAGGATAAGAAAATTCTTATCCGCTTTTTTAAAAAATTCGTGCACCCAATCGAGGTTTCGCTCCACCACCACCTCCTATTTCTTTCCCTTTTCTCTCTTTTCGTCGGCGATAACGGAAGAAAAAGGACCTTTTTTTTTAATTGGTCTGAATTTTTTGGAAAAAATGGCCGATGTTTTGACCAAGAGCAGTCTCTTTGCGATTTGTGACAATCGATCCTCGTCGATTTCCCACAACAGGAGAAGGAATTTCTCTGTTGTGAGGTTCTCGCGTTGTTCGTCTCAATCTTTTGGGGGATTGAGATCTTCTTCGAAAAGTAGTGGATTTTTGGGGAAAAGATTTGATTTTGGGGATCGAGGATGTAAAACTGTGAGGGGGAGTCAACGCCCGACCTCTGTTCAGGTTTGTAGTTCAATTTTTGAATGAATTTACCATCAATTTTCACCGTAATCTAAGCGATTTCCCTGAATTTTCCCCTGAATTTAATAGGGTATTTGTGTGAAAAGTTATGATCTTTGAGGTATAATTGTTGGCCAGATAAACTATAATTTGTTTGTTGTGAAATTTTGCAGATGACTCTTGCCTTTCCAAAGGCTATGAGATGGTGGAAGAAAGGGTTGCAGCCAAACATGAAGGAGATCGAATCAGCTCAAGATCTCGTCGATTCTTTTCAGACCGCAGGCGACAGGCTCGTGGTTGTAGATTTCTTCTCTCCTGGATGCGGAGGATGCAAAGCCCTTCACCCAAAGGTATAATCTCTGCACAAAACTCATCAACCCCTTTTCAATTGCTGATAATATCATTCTCCCTCCTATAATGTTTGTGAATTTATGTATTTATTGTTTGTTTGTTTTTATTTGGGGGCAGATTTGCCAGTTTGCTGAGATGAACCCAGATGTCATGTTCCTCCAAGTAAATTATGAGGAGCACAAGTCGATGTGTTACAGCTTGAATGTCCATGTTCTTCCCTTCTTCAGGTTTTATCGGGGAGCGAACGGTCGCCTTTCTAGCTTCAGCTGCACCAATGCAACTGTGAGCTTTCAGTTTGGGGTGTAATTGTTCATAGTTGTGCTTTCAGATGCTACTAGGACTCGTGGGTTATTGCCATGGTTGGATTTTGCTTATCATATGTTTGTTCTGAATTCGATCTCCCTCTTGTTGATGCAGGTTAAGAAATTCAGAGATGCATTGGCCAAGCACTCAACGGAAAGATGCAGCCTCGGGCCAGCAAAGGGCCTCGAGGAATCCGAGCTCGTGGCTCTTGCTGCAAACAAAGACCTCTCTTTCACCTACACGAGGAAACGAGTCCCTGTGCCAGATTCAGATGACGACGGCGTGGCTGAACCAATCCCTTCAAGCCCGAAGCCCCCTCTTGTTCAGCCCTCAAGAGCTGCTCATGAGTCTGAAGATAAGAAGTTGGTCGCGGCTGGGAGATGAGATGATGATGGCTGTTCATCCTCTCCCTTGTACAGAAGTTAGTAACTTAGTTGTTGCTGTCTATAGTCGTGAACCTTCATATTAAAGGTTTTCTCATGTTTTACAAATGTTCTATAGTTGCACCAGAGAGCTGCAGGCTTGTCTTGGTTTTTATTGGTGTCTTGGCCTGCTAGCGAGTTGCTGTGTGATTAAATAATGAAGAGGGAAAGCTTGAGATGCCCTGTTTGAGAGAAACTGGTTTCTCTTTCTGTAAATATTTTTTGTTATGTGTTGCCCTAATTCAAGAGTTTATATTTCAATTACTTGCTTTTTTGGTTTTCGGATGGATTTATAGTTTCATGTGAGGAGCTAATGGGAGGAAGAACATTAAAATATGAAAATGCAGTATATTGGGGTGGCAAAAATGAGCACTTTGGAAAACCTCATCTGTCAAAAGCGTGTGATTGCTTCCAGCAGCACAATTTTGAAATCTGAAGTTTCATGGATGTTGGCAGATTGGCGATTGTTGCTTAAAGATGAGACTTTTGGTAATGGTTTTGGAAGGTGAATAGGTGACCCTAATGTTAGATTTGTCAAGCATTGAGATGTTGCTTTCAGAGGCGGTGTTTGCTTCTAGAAAAAGTGACGTGGGTTTGTGAGGTGAAAGGGTGGTGGAAGAAATTGTGGGCTAATTGACCTTTTTGAGCATACAACGTTGGAATGGAGCACATCTTTTATTGCAGGGGACCCTGTTTTTCGAAAAATCAGATTTTTTGACCGCATAAACTTAAAAGGAGTCCGGGTTGGCTTCAGCTTTCAGCTAGAATTAGTGTTTTTTTTTAAATCAAGGAGAAGGGCTCAGTAGCCCAAGATTATTAGAATGCTGCCTCCATCTTTAAGATTTTATCCGAAAATTTTCTTAACGTTGTTAACTGTATTTTTCACATGGACGGATAAATTTTTATTGGGAGATAATTTTGTTACGACATAAAATTAACTTGATTCCTGATTATTTGAATTCGTGGGATGATGATATGATTCCAGACGCACAGCTAAATCTTAGTGGTGACAGATTATGTCAGATTGCTCCTTGCTAATTGCTCATGCAAGCGAATCATATTCTCTCATTCTAGTTGAATTAACTAAACATTGAAAAAACCTATATCTCTACCAAATCATTATATGTTTGAAGAATTCACCAAGTAAGTTGTTTGCGACATGAAAACATTCATTTCCAAATTTATAGTAGTAAACAACCTTACATAAGATTAAACAACAGCGAGTGCACACCTCACATGCGTACAGGAGACGGACTAATTTACACGTTCTGCTCCAAACAACTTTTGTAGTTTACAAAATAATGTTTGTTCCTCTTATATCAAGGAATTTTAAAAAACTTTCGATCATCAAAATATTGATTTTAATTAACTCTGCTCAAATATCACAAGACTTAAAACTTTTCATATCAAATCATTTTCTGAACTTTCCTTAGTTCAATAAGTTCTAAGCGCTCATTCTTCCATATGTGAGTTAAGTTCACGTCTTAAGAATAATAACCCTTAATTTATTATAATGATGTTAGGGGATCTCACCTTCCTCTTCATCAAGAATCTAGAATCTAACTAAAGGTGATGCTGGCACAAACAAGAACCGAAGATATCTGGAGGCCAACACGGATGTCTACAAATTAATCCCTTATAACAATTTTCTATCAAACTTGCTTCTCTTATTGATTTAACACCTAACTAGCAGCCAAGACCAAGATAAAGACCATACGATAATTTTGAACAAGAATAAACTTCTGTGCAGTAGAATATGCTGAGCATAACGTGTGTTCATAAATAAATGAAAGTGAAAACATTATCTCCTCTTTTGAAAGGTTCTATGAAAATATTTTCTTCCTCAGTCATATTTCTGAAATTTAGATAAAACTTTCACCTTTTCAGTATGAATAGATTTCTCTTCCAAATGTTTAGGATTTTCTCGTACTGTCTTTTTTTCTTTTTTCTTTTATCAATCAAATTTCCATCCAAGTTGATAGTTGTGAGACACGAATTTTTTTTCTTTTTTCTTTTCTTTTTCTTTTTCCGTGAGATGAATAGCTCAGATGGCATATGGAAAGCTATCAACTTAGGGGCTGTTTGTTTCACCATTTTTATGAAAAAGGTAGGATTTGAGTCTGACAATGACAAAATTGCAAGTAAATGATTCTTTATGAATTCTATTCTTGAGTTTGGTTCCCAAAAAATTTATAGATTTCAGAATCTATAAAGTTAAAAAAGTATACTGATTTTATAGAAACCCAAATCCTAATGATTTGGGTGGATTTGGGGTAGAAAGCTGACACATTTGTACTATTCTCTCTCTTTTTTTTCTCGGATTCCGTTTCTTCACAAACCCTATATTATTATGAGACCAAATCCTATTCTTATTCCAAACAAACTAAAGAATATGAATTTGAGGGTTTGAATTCTATTTTTCCATGTTATGAAACAAACATAGAAATGAAAAAAAAGATTCCATGACAACATAAAATTGTCTTAAATTTTTTTATGGATTAGCAAGGAATCCATAAAAAATACGGGGGAGTCCTAATCCTATTCTTGCTCACTATTGAACCAAACACCCCATTAAGTTAGGAAAGATTCCAAATTCAAATTGTGAGAAGATCTTTGTTTCACAAAGAAGAGAACAGGAATATCAATTTACCAATAAACTTCAATAACCAACGACTGTATTTGCATGTTCCCCTCAATTATGCATTTGGCCGGCTCTTGTTTTCAAGAGATTCAAATATCCCAACCTTTGTTTATGTTTTTGCTTGTACACCCGTCCAAAGATTTGTCCTGAGGGATGAGTCCAATTCACTAACTGCTTTCAACTTCCATAATAATTTGAAGCGATAATAATACTTGCATATATATAGCGAGACCAGCATCACACTTGGGCATTCATCCATCACCAATTTTAATAGGTGATCCACATATTTCAATAGAGGAGTGATAGATTGACAAGTGTGGGCCATTATATCTAAAGATCTTAGAGAAGATTTGAGGCCTAGGGATGCGCTGATGTGAACATGCAAAGAAAACGGGAGCAAGGCTTGAAAGAAATCCAATTTTTTTTGACATTGGACTTGGTCCAACGAAACAATATCAATAGGAATTAGGCCATTGGCCAGTAATAGAAGCCACATCTCAGTCTAAAAATTTTAGAGTGGCACTACAGACACACCTTGTGCCACACCCTCAGCCACACTCCCCTCTCTCTGCTACAGTAACCGGGCCCACATGAGATTTATTTTATAAATCTCATATGGGGCTGAGGGTGTGGCACAAGGTGTGCCTATATCATTTTTAAAATTTTTTTAAATCCAAAGCTCAAAAACAGTACAAGGATTGAAGATTAAAGAAACATCCTATCTAAAAAAATTTAATCAAGTAAAACCATTTTTTCCTATATGGACTATGTAACTTTACTATTTTTTTCCTTAATTCCTCGTCCTTAATCCTTTTTCAATCAGTATCTTAAGTTTTGCAAGGAGTATTCGTTTTCAATCAGAACCTTAAGTTTCGGAAGGAGAATTATGATCATTTTCCTCACCATAGGAGCTAGATTATTAAACCCCTTATTTTCATCTTAGAAGTTGAATTAGTAAACACCTTATTTTATGAGCTTTCTTATATCTAAGTATTCTTAAATCTTATATATAGTCTTTACAGTATGAAAATTGATGTTTGACAAGTTGAGGTGTTAACTCTCCATAACCTCTCACTTAACATGTAGCTAACTAATACGACTCTTGGAAGATGGTCCTCAGAATGATGGTCATGCTCAAAGTAACTGCCTGGTGAGAGTTACTTGGGTCAACATCATTGTTGCAACCTTCACGGTTACTCTCATGTAGATAAGAGTTCTCAGGATACTCTGTACATACACAAACAAGAACGGTGGTTCTGGGATTTGGATCCTCTCCACTACAAAAAAGTAGTGGAGAGAACACTACTTTTAATCTCAAGCGTTAATTATTTAGTAGGCGGTTATGATACAATCTAAATCTAACACTTACCATACCCCTGTGTATTGCACTCATTCCTAATTTGCACTAAAAGAAAAAATCATAACCATCAACTAGATAATCAATGGCTGTGATTATGTAGTGGTCCCTTCATTATTTTTTTTGTAGTGGAGAGAATCCGAATCCGTGGTTCTGTTTGATATCGGGATCCCGATATGGAAATCAACAGAACTTGCTTCTCTCGCGGATTCGACACCTTCACCGGTAGTCAAGACCGAGAGAGGGACTCGAAGATAACGTTGAACAACCGTGGAGCCCATGACGTGAGTTAATAGACTGAAATGACAAGAAAAACAATGAACCCTCATCCTTAGGGGTGGAAATGAACCAAATAATTAACAAATAGTTCGATAATTGTTCGAAAAAGTATTCGGTCATATTCGATTCGGTAGTTCATTTACCACTAAACAAATATTTTTTAGTATTCGAGTTTACTAACGAATAGAATTTAACCAGATGTATATTCGATTCGTTTGTCTATTAAATATTCGTTTAAAATTTGATCACATCATATTACTTGTATTATTGCACATATGATGTCATATTTTTAACCTACATACCATTTCTACTTGAGCTTTATATCCTGATTTTAAGACTTAAATAATCTTAAATCTGTTTTCTAATTAAAATTTTGATTTAAATATATATACATCATATATTATAAAGGAATAAATTTTATTTATGTATTCAAATACTATTTGAAAATCAAATTCTTTAGTGGAATAAATATACTTTGATATTCGATAAGTATTCGTGAATATTCATGAATATTTATCAAATACCAAGTATTCGAGTTCGAATTCGAAAAACTAGATATATGAATTTTAGAGTCCACATTCGAATTCGATAATTTTAAACAAATACAAATACGAACATCTTAGTATTCGATTCGATTCGATCGTTTACCACCTCCTATGAAAATCTTTTTTTCTTTTTTGTGGTTAGATTTTCTGAAATTAAGATAAATCCATTTCACTTTTTTCAATATAAGAGCATTAATATCTCTTATAAATGTTTAGTAGGTTATTATTAGCATCCTAAGTTTCTTTCCTTTCCCAATCGTTTTTTCACCCAAATTAAAGATATTAGACAGAAAATTTGCTGCTTCTTTCCTTTACAAACACGCTTTATCTTTTTTTCCAGGAATACATGACAAAATCTCATCATTAAGGCTTCGTTTGGATACCATGATGTTTTACTTGTTTTCATGATGTTTTTATCAAAAATAAAATACCATGTGTTTAGAAACCATGATGTTTTTTGAGCTAGATCATCCTCAAACTAAAAACACAATATTTATTTCAATTGAGGTTTGGTGTTTTGGTTTTGAGTTTGAGGTGTTAATATAATATTTAACATAATATATTAAACATAATTAATATATAGTTATTATCGCTATACTTATTATATTATACTATACTATATTATAGTTAATCTAACATATTAGTAACATTTATTAAATAATATAATAACATATTAAATACTAGTATTTCAAATGTTGATAATGTATTATATAGTAATAAATAATAATAATAATAATAAAGTTATTGCTAATAATAATATTATATAATACTAACATATTTAATATTAAAACAATAATATAACAATATTACAATAATATATTGCATAGTAAATATAATATAATATATAAAATATTAATATATTATATAATAAATAATATAATTTATTATAAAGTAAAATAATTTTTAATACTAAATAATTTATTGCAAACAATGTTATATAATAGTATATTCATAAATAATAATATATAGGTTTTATAATAATTTTTAATAATTATTTAAAGTTTTATTGATAAACTTTAACATATTAGAAAGTATAATATATTATATAATATTAAAATATTTATAATATATTAATTTATTAATAATACACTAGTAATAACATAATATTAACATTATTAATAATATTAGATTATATTAATAATTGTATAATATTATATTAATAATAAAATAATATTAGTTTAATAATATCATATAACATATAACAATAACAAATTGATATATCAAAATAATTAAATATATTATTATTTGAAAATAATATGTAATAATTATAACATAATATAACACATTAAAGTACAATATAATATTATAATACATTATACAATATTACATTTGTATTATATATTTAATATTTATAATACTATAACAATGTAAACTAAATATTATAATATTTTATTTATAGTATATTTTATTATAATTAATATATAATATATTTACAATATGTTTAATATTAATGTTATAACAGATCAAACTAGTGTTGACAAAAAATACTGAACATAGTGTTTTGAAAATACTTAAGGGAAAAACATAATATCATGGTGTTTTTTTTTTACAAAAGCACAATAAGAAAAACACCATGATATCTAAACAATTACCAGCGTTTGGCAACCATGACGTTTTTACCGTTTCTGTTTTTGTTTTCAACAAAAATAATAAAACGCGTTTGGCAACTGGAGTGTTTTTTTGACTTGACCCTTTACAAACTCTAAAAAATAAATACTTTTCTCAAAACACCAAAAATGTGTTTTGAAATTCCGTTTTTTCATCTAAGCCGCCGTCCGTCCGCCGCCCGCTCGCCCGCGCGTCCACCTGCCGGACGACGCCGTCGATCGTCGCCGAGCCCATCGGCAGCAGCCACCGCCTGCCACAAGCGCTGCGCCATCGCTGCCGTCGGCTGCCACCGATGCCCGCCGCCCATCGTCATCGCCCGCCGGCAGCCCCCGCCGCTGTCCGCCGCCCCGCGCCGTCGGCCGGTCGTCGTGCCGCGCGACGATCATCGTTTGCCCGCCGCCGTCGGTCGCCACCCGCCACCGACCCTTACCGATCGCCCGCCACGAGCTGCCGCCGGCACACGGCCTGGCCGCGCCCGCTCGACCACCGGCAGTTCATCGTGATGGTCGCCCGCCGCTCGTCCAGCCGGTCGCCCATCGGCCGCGCTGCCGCGCCACCGCCGCCGCCAGTGTCGCGCCCAACTTCGCCGCGCGCCGCCATCGGTCCAGGCCGCTGGCTACCACTACGTCACTTTATAAATAATAACTATAAATGGTGTTTTCAAAACATGTTTGAAAAAAAAAACACCATGGCATGGTGTTTTTCTAAAAAACACAACAAAAACAAACAATTCTACCAAACACTTAAGTAATTAAATAAAAAACAAAGCAATCATAGAGTTATGACCAGTTCCGTATTCGAACTTTTACTAGGCATAAGTTTCAAAAGGAAGCAAGGAATATCAAATCACCAATAAAACTTCAAGAAACAGTGACATTGCTTGTTACCCTGAATTATGCTTTTGGTATCCCTACCATCATTAAAAAAATAACATAATATAAAATAAATATCCCCACCTTAGTTATGTTTCCTTGTACACCTGTCCAAAATTTTGTCCAAAGCGTTGAATCCAATACACTTAATTCTTGATCTCCCAAGATAATTTGAAGCAAAAATAGTATCGTACATATAGATACCAACATCACACTTGGGACTTCATCCATCACCAATTTAATAGTGATCCACATATTTCAATGGAACAGTGGCAGTAGATTGAACAGTGATTCAGTGGACCATTATATCCAAAGATTGCAGAGGAGAAGATAAGAAATTTAAGGATGTGATTTCTTGAACAATGTTGGAGAAGTAACTCCCAGTAATCTTTGTATTCAGAAACTCAAAACAATGTGACATTAGACTTGTTCACGATGTGTGATATATTATATGATATATATATATAACTTATAGTATATATATATATATAATTTATTTATTAGTATATAAATAAACTCAACACAATGTGAGCATTAGACTTGTTCCGATGTAGTATATATATATAGTATATAATATAAGTAATATATATAACTATATATATATATATAATAATAGTTATAATATATATATGTAAATATATATATCTACAAAGAACTCTATCAACTTAAGCTTATCTTTGAGACTTCCAATTTACCAGTTTCTAGCCACAGCGGTCCCCAACATCACACATTTATTAATATAAAACATCACTTTATATATAATACAAAGGATCCCTAGCAAATCATAGTGAGACACTATTGCCCTAATCCCACTTAAAGTTGACCACAAGTTTTCACACGACACATATATATATATATAATTATATATATATATAATAGTATATATATATATAGTAATAGTATACTATATATGATATATATATATATTAATAAGATTAATGAGTACACCTTGTCATAGAGGGGATTATCCTCCTATGACCCTCTAAAATCCACTGGATTGAGCGAATTGGTGGATTACCGGTCCGTTGAACTTGATCTAGCATATTCTAATAATCCTCTATTATCATCTATCCGAAGTTTGGGGGAGTGACCCGCGTGCGTCGTTGACCATTCCATTACAGACACGTCGTTCAAATTGTTTTAACGGTTTTGAAATTGAATAGAACTTTTCAATGCTTCGATGGAGGTCAAACGAAACGACGGATTCAACCCTCAAAATCTTGTGTGTTGAGGTTTTAGAAATATGTAGATTTCAAGTTCGAACGAACGGGATCATCGCAAATGCTACCGCTCTCATGTGATTTATACGAGGCGTCAAAGGAAGAAATCCCCTCCTATGAACAAGGATACCCATTAATCTCCTCTCTCATTCTCTCTCTCGTCTATAATATATGATATATAATATATATATTTATATATATATATATATAATAAGTATACCTAATCAACGTTAAGTTGATGTCCAACCAAAACTTCTAGACACGTCATTTATTAATATAGAAAAACATTTCATATTAGGCAATGAATCCTCTAAGCAATATGATTATGAATGGCTAAAAAGTTTGGTGAGCAATTTTTGCATGATCGGGCACTTAAGTCCTGACAACAAGTTTTAATATATATATATATATATATATATATATATATATAATCATAAGCTCCTCAAATTTTAAAAGCTAAGGCTCAAAATAAGCAAAGAAGAGGTCAAGGATTAAAATAATTCTAAAAATTAAGCAGTTTGATCTTTCTTTTACTCAAAATGGACTAACTAGTTGAACTCCTTTTCTTCATCCTTAGACCTTAAGGAGGATAATCATCATTTCTTCATAAGTGAAAGGATTATTTATTAACCCACCTGAAGAGAGAAGTACAAACACCCCCCATATTTTGAAGTGTTACCTCTTTTACAATTTTTATGCTTGGTAATTTAAGATTTTGTACCTCACCTTAACTTACGTGTAAGTTTATCATGTTTGCAAGTTAAAATAGCGGTTTACTCTCCTAACACCACACTTAACCCGTTGCCAAACAGCACATTGAAGCTTTTAATGTTTGGAAGCAGAATGTTGGAAGGGACTTGAAAGCAGTCCAATGGGTCTTATACGCGTCTCATGTATCCTGTAGTACAGCAAAGAAAATGAAAGTAGTTTTCCCCCCTAATTCATAAAGTTGAAGAGTTATACATAGTGAAAACATTAAGGTTGTTTAATTTCCTTACTATATTTAGATGGATTCATAAATATGGACAAATTTCTAGCCAAACCAAAGAAAACAAGACTTGTACAGCTAAGTGAACTCCAAACAGCACGGCTGGCAAAAAATGGCCCGGGATGAAATAGAGAGAAGCTAGCTCGTTATTGCTTCAATTTCCTTGCTATTGTATCTGAAGATATGCCGTTTTACCATTTTAATGTAACTTAGATACCAGTTTCCCTCTCTGCACATCATAATTACGTGTCAGGTTATATTTACATGCGACTGAGGCAAACAACAGAGAAATCTACAAGAAGGGAGCAAAATAAAATTAAAAAATATATATATGAAGATGAACAAATTGATGCAAAAAAGATAAGAAATGAACAGGAGACACTTTGAAAGACTTCATTGTGCAGAGCAGAAGATGTAAGTGGCAATTTTTTCAAAATGAAGAATGTTGCATATGAAATTTGCAAAGAAACAAGTTATTGTGCGTGGTAATAAGGCTTGTTTCATCTTCCCAAAAAACTTCAAGGTGGTTACAATAATTTTAATGATAAAATATATACCTTCTCTAGTTTAAGTGGAGGAAAAAAGTTGATAACTTACCGGTGCTCCAGCAATCCAGAGATCTTTCAATCCAAAAAAATTCATACTGAAATCCAGTCCCAGACTTCCAACGTCTCTGAACTGCTCCTATATTAAAATGTGTTCGTCCACAAATGAATGCACTACGAAACATTAAACTCGAACTGAGAGCATACACATCTAGAAACTCTGCAGGCATGCTTCAAAGTTAAGCAATCGAAGTCAAAATTATAACCAGGCAGAGCAAAACTAACCCTGGAATCAGGAAAAATCACTTCCAGTTGCAGTTTAGTCCTTTTAGATTCATTTTCCAGCAGCAGGATTGCGACCAAACTGGATTATCATTGGTTTGCCTTTGAACACGTAACCATTGACTAGATTCTGTAAAAAATAAAATAAAATTTAGTAGAATGCCCATCTAGAAACATATCACATTCATATCAACCAAAAAGGGTGGACACAATCTTGTATTCGGATTTCATCAGGAGCTTAAAATAATTAAATTTTACTAGTTTTTCAGAGCTAATAAGTATAAAAATATCCCACTTCACAGAAAGTAAGCTACTTTCAGTAGTCAGTACAAATATATTAAGGTGACCTGGTCAGTAGTCAAGGGTTTTAACACTACTTTATAACACGCTGAGCAAACACAGGAATCAATCAGAGGAGAAAAGAAATTGGAGCACACTGGGACCAAGTTTGGTGCAGATACATACCAGAGCATGCTGAGCAAGATCAACTGATGGAAATGTCACAAAAGCCTGACCCCTCATTCGCCCCTCCTGAGATGCAAAACATTACTATGATCAAGGACATATCAATCACTAGGATATATTACATTCTAACCAATAACACTCCATATGATGAAGTCATGAAGGATGGTTTTTGTAATAATATTCTGATTTATTTGGCAAATCTAGAAGAATAATCAAAAGAAATAAAAAAAAAATATATAAACATATAATACTGGAAAATCAGAAAAAAATATGCACATTATATAAATTAAAACATGACTAACATTAAGTTTCAACTGAAGATCCTGTATAAGAGCAAATAAAGATTAATGTGGCACAGAAAAAAATCTGGCGCAGCTTGAATACTCACATTATGCTCAGGTCCGTCTTTCATCAACAATGTTGTACATAAAAGGCAGCTGATCAGGCAGTCTCTTCACCTAGGTCATGGATAAGTTAACCTACTATCAGCCCCGGCCCTCATCACATGCCTAGCTGTCAATGAGAGTTTGATAAGGTTGCCTTGTGTGCTAAGCTTGATATCGGAGAATGGGATAAAGTTGTGGTTGCCTATAGTGATGGAGGCAGACTAGATGGCGGTGTGAAGCAAGATTTGGAGTCTCCTGAAGGATACAGGAGCCATTTCATTCTACCCAAAGCTGACAGCTATTGGTGGAGAACATCAGAGCATCATCATATGGGCTTCAAACGTAAACCAATTCCTAACTTCATCACCCCTCAAAACTCTCTAATCCCTTAAACAATCTTGACTTTAGGTCAAATTGAATCTAGAGATGGATTGATTAATTAATCCCAACCATCAATTACATTAATTTAGGTTCCGTAAAAGGAATAGATAAAAAATGAACCAAATTAAGTAGGACTTGCTCAAGCTGCTGACGATACAGTTCAAGTCAACCATATGTAAACTTACCATCATATGAGGATGACCCAACAAAAATTAGGCGGGAAAGATAAGAGAGATTGTACCTCGTACTAGTGAGATCAACGCCAATCTCATATTTATGAAGATAAGGATATTAGATACAGTGTATCATGACCAGTTTGTAACGTGGACTAGTTCTATTTATCTACTCAGCAGCCAGAACAATCGCTGGAATGATTCAATGCAGAAACATGTAGATGTCTGTGCATAATTGCTAGTCTTTGAAAGATGCTAGTGATAAATGAGATAAAAGGGTCTCAGTAACTATGACCTCTGAAGATTAAGGACAGCACATCAGAAGAAGGTACAAGAAGATATGATGTGCACAAAACTTTGACTTAAAAATCTTAACATTAAGTGAGACAAATGTATGTCCTTTCACTCAACAAGATGAAGCATCAATCCAACAGGGGTCATAACAGCTGGATAACTATAAGGAAGCTACACTGTGAGCGTAATGGCAGAAATTTCTGCGCATATCAAGTATAACTCAAGGTTAATAGTAGTATGCGAGTGAAGCCAATATGTGGCTGAAGCTAATTCTTACCAAACACTTTAGCAAGTGAGTCATGAACTTATGCTTGAAACTAAAGTGTCTCTATGCTTTCTCCATCTTCGTCCTTTCCCGAACCCCAAGTGACTTTGGACTCCTACTTTCTCCGTCCCTAAATTGGGATTTATTTTGATTGCAGTCACCACCAAGCACTTATGGAGAAAACTTCTACCTCAACCCTTCATTGTGACCAATTCCAACTCCTGACCACTAGCTCTGGCAACCAAAACAAATTATCCCATACCCTGATAACATCCTTCTCTCCTATCCTCTCATACCCAACAATATATTGTGCATCTTAAGACAAAGGATGCCATAATCATCCAAGTTTAAACTTGACAAAGTGATATGCAAACAAAGTAACATCACTAAGTATAAGAACATAACTTACTTGCATTAATTTGATATGAAGACCAGATCTTGCAGCTTCCAAATTTTCAAACAGTGAACCTGTATGTTACATGATCCAGAGGACAATGTTAAGTGAATTAAACAGAAAACATGACGCAAGTTAAGTTGAGATATCTGACAGTTGCAACACATGATTGTTCACAAATAATTTGTTCATAAATAATTACCCAGGCCAGCTTGTTTAATTGATATTGAGCAACATACCAAATATGTAGTAGAAATCATCAGAAACCACATCTTTTGCCAAATTCTTTATGTACAAGACCATAGCAGGGTTCCCAGCAGCATAGTTCTGCAAGAATGAAGAGCTCAAATATTAACTTCAAAACATAAGGTTAATTCGAAATTAAATCCACACACAAGTAGTGTTTAGTACACTAACATCAAGAAGTCTGTCTTTGCATTTGTAATGAATTCAGTATTAAGGTTTTTTCTCTGTAAACTCAAAGAAATGCCAAGTAACCTTTCTGCAATTCCACTTGCACTTATATGCCTTGATTAGAGATAGTGGCGTTTCTGCACGCTCTCATCTCAGAATCATGCATGCACTTGTAGTGTTAATCAGGTAAATAATTGCAACATCAATAATGCTCGCTCACTCTTGATCCAACTCTATAGTTTCAAACATAGTCACTTCTGTTACCCCTTCGAAACAACATTATATTTCAAACCCTTCGAAATATCCTTTTCGGGCTGCTGATGTTTCTTTTGGGATAGAGGACGTGGTCCAGCATCATTTTGTTCTAAGGCCCTAACCCTAGCTTCCAAAAACATAGACATGCAATCTTGGAAAACTAATCAATCCCCTGTCCAAAATGACATAAGAGATATGAATGATATGCATTCCACTCTATGGGATCCTCAGTCACAACTATATATTTGTCAGATTCTCCTTGAACTTCTGCTTCTTCTGCATCTTCTTCTGATACAACTTACAAGAAGTCCCCAGTGGTCCTTTTCTGTGACGTGTAATCTCTCAAGTATGCAATCTCCAATTATCCAATTCCAGGACCAACTACCTCATGGGTAACATTCATGATGCTCCATGACTAGCAAAACTAGGTAAAACTGGTGCATTTGAATAAATGACTTTTAATGTATAACATGAAAAAGTAACTGGTTCAAATGTAACACATATGAACAGTATTTCAATCATATTGCTCAAGTGAAGAGGTGTTTGAGTGACTAAAAAATTGGGAAGAGCATGCTTCTACATACACTATTAGCAAGAATCGATGAAATCATTGTTTCAAGTAGTTTCAGTTTGCTAAAGGGCTAGTACATATGTGATATAGGAACGATAAATGCAAACAAAGCAAATATGCCGAAATTTATTCTGCAAGTGTAATAGCCCCCATACAAGACAAAAGAAAGTGGAAAACAGGAATTTCAGAGGTTAATTATAATATTTTTATGCACTCGTAATATATGGCAACAGTTCAGCATTAATGTGTTATTCAAATGAGGTGGTGGGATAAACCTTATTTATTCACAAAAGAAGAAAAATCATAAAACTATAAAAAGCATAGATCTTAACCTTAAACATAGGCAGAGATAATATTTCCTCTGGAGGTAACTTCCCCTTTTGTATGTCCTCTGGTGCGGCGTAAGGCTTTTGCTCAACCTGCTCTTGTACAGGCTCAGTCAATTCTTTACCGTCAGTAGCATCATCAGTAATCCCTTTTTGGGGTGCCTTAGGGGCAATTTTTATCTGGCAAAAACATAAAGTAAGTCATCTACTTCGAGAACTTATATTTCTGAGAAGAAATACAGTAGTAGAGTGAAAACCTGTAGCACCGGGTTTTTCCTTTTTATCAATGGGACCTCTTTTGGAACCAAGCTGGCAGGCCTCAAACCAACGGCTTCATGTGCCACACCCTTATCAATTGCAGGGCCTACAATTGCTTCTCGTTTTACACGTTTTTTAATGCGATTATCACCAGCATCGTCCTACCAATATCAAGTGTAAAAGCAAGAAGGTCAAAGATATACAATCAAATAATTATCAATAAATCTAATCGACATGCGTAAGTACTTCTGATGACTCCATCTCAGATTCGTCACTTGATAGATCAGCCCGTGGATGGTCAGCTGTAACAGGAGGTGGTGGAGGAGGAGGGGCAGGAACTGGAGGTGGGAGAGGCGGTGTTGGCAGTGCCATACGAAAAGGGGCTGGAAGATTCATCTTGTTCATTAAATGTAGAACCTACCAAGAAGGTAGGCATTTTAGTTTTCAGCAACTAATAGGAACAATATTTCTAAAGGTTGTTCACATTTTAATGTTCATTAATAATAAAAATATAAAAGAAATAAGGATATGTAGTGTCATTATGTTCTAGCTATAGAAGTTCCTAACCATCTTCTATTGATATTCAATAATATATTTTTCAATAATATAGAAAATGAGGCAAGAAAGAGACTTAAGTACACAATATTATCAGGGAGAAATTTCATACCTGTGTATAAAAACGAGGAACGGCGATAAGGGAATTTACAATATTGGTAAGTATATTTCCATCTGGAGGTGGATATGCATACCTGTCAAACAATCACCACTCAGCACATTTTCTAGAAAAAAATAAATGGTTTGTACTCTGTAATTAGGATGGAAAACCTATTGCCAAGGTAACTCCATTAAAATTCACTGGACCAATACATTTTGCTGCGACAAACAATCAAATGAGATCAAAAGATATATTTTTGACCCAGCACTTTATCATGAACGAGCAGTACATCAAAACTTTTCACAGTTCAATATGTGTACTGAGACAAATTTCCTACAGCATTACCAACTTGAGTTGAAAATTCTCCAACCTTAAAATTTATTGTGCATGAACCATAAGCCATTCACAAAACCTGAAGACCTTATATTCCCCTATTCCTAACCTTTCTGATTGAAATGGTGGTTTCTTTATTATCCAAAATAAATGCTAAGAAGCCGTTCTGACATTTTGTTCTAGTCAAATTCATTAATTTGTGTGATGTAAGTGCGAAACCTTAGAACATATGGCTGTTTTGTTATTTACAAAAATAAAGCTTACTTTGTCAGCCATTCACTACTCCTTAGAACATGAAGCATCGTTAAAAAATCTAGTGTATATTTCTATAAAAAGAGAAAAACTAGTAAGCACGAAAAACACCATCGTTAGTAGAGAATAAACATACTCAAGATGGGGAGGGAATGGATAGTCCACACCAAGTCTCGAAGCAATTGGTTCGCTAGCATAAACTGAGTTCACTGGGTTGGCAGGATCTTTCAGCAATGATGCTGGTTGACTGGAGTCCTTAGGTTGGGCTTCACTTTTTGTGCTTGTGCTCTTTGGATTTGAGCCCACTCGCTCTACTGTCAATACTTTCCCAAGAAATCTCAACCTGAAGTAGTACCAAGACAAAGTCAAAGCACGAAACAAAGCAAATTTTGAGCAGCCAAGATTGGAAGAGTTGAAAGAAGAGACATGAGTTTCACTGAGGGCCCTGGACTCAGTCTCAGTTATTGAGGCACTTGACTTGAAAAAGGTAAGTAGCGTAAAATGGCTGGGGGGCAATAACCTGTTCATTTGAGCTTGTGCTTGAGTAGCCAAAGCCTCATCCTTGAAATCAACAAAGGCGCAATTTCTTAATCTGCACAACAAAAATGTAACCAGAAGGAAACAAAGATGAGCAAGCAATAAATTATCACGTCTCCCGTTTGAGTTCAGTGAATGGGTTGCAATGTTCGAGAAACAATTGAGTTAATACATTTCATTTAAGAAAGCAACAAAGGAACCATGAAAACCAAAAAAAATACTACTCTCGTACTTCATCATTCTTAAATGCTGTAAAAATTCAATAACCGTATTTTAGTCAACTCTTAAGCCCAAACCATTTACGTCCCAAAAAATATCAAGGCCCACATAAGTTTCCATCAGAAAAACTAAAAGGATATCTCCATCTTCTACTCGCCTCAATTACAATGTATTCTACCACTGTTAACTTCCTAGTTTCCACCAATTTCAACATGGTTTTCAGCATTTAAACGTTCAGATGATATGTAACCTTTCGAATGTTTCCCATCGCAATTGCTAACTTTCTTTGTCTTTTGCTTTATACATTAAGTTCCAAATCTCAGTCTTTTTCAACGAAATCGAATACATGCAGTAACCTCATAATTTTCATGCATTACAAGTTTATTTATAATATCACGACAACTAAGAAGGACGTACAAGCTCACAAACTAATTTGTAAAAGTAAATCTTTTTCCTACTGCAAGGAAGGGGGGGGGGGATAGCAACAGAAAATTGAGGAATTAGGGTTTAGAGATGAAAATTACTTGCCACCGGCGCAAGGGCGAACGGCGGAGGCGCCGTAGTGAGAGAAGAGGCGGGAGAGCATATCGTTCGGAATCGCCTCCGGCAAATGCCGAACCAGGAGAGTCACCGTCACTCCT